TAATCTGCATGTATCTAATAGGTCAAGTGACGTCGTCAATCGTTTCTTTCGAAAAGATTGAACCACCTACAGGATCAGAAATGCGTAAACTGTGGTGATACAGGTATACAGGGACATATTTGTTCGCTATTTGTGCGGTTCTAAATCACGCAAACCCACCGATGTAGTCTTCACAATTCAGCCTCTCGTCGTCATTGACGTTGCTTTCTGGGGTGGCGGGATTCGAAGTGGATAAATTCGAACAAACCTTAAATTTAAATATTGACATAATCATGATCAAACGCACTCTTAACGCAACAAAAGCACTCCCTTCATCTTTATGAATATTTATAAATTCAAAATGAAACGCGAGGTTTCAATTGGTCGATAATAACAATGATAAGGGAATACCTTTGTTGCGCCGAGTTTTACTCCTATAGGTGTATATTTTTACTTGACACATTACTTAGAAAGATACCTTAAATGGTGTGGTCGTCGCGCTGCGCATGTGCGACATTTGTGTTGATAAACATTAATGCGCAACAGCCAAAGTCGCCATCTTTGTTTATGTGAGACCCATATACTAGTGTCTCGCAGCATGCGTGGCGCGACGACTACCCCCTTTAACTAGTTCGCTTAGCCATTTGAACAACAAACCTGTTTTCATTCCAGAGTAATGTGACTATGGTATAAGCTATTATCTGATATAGAAAATAAAGGTAACTGTGCGTACTACGTGCATGCAAGTGTAAATTCAATATAATACCTCCCAATTCTGTCCCGAACAGCAATTCTATAGTTGAATTCTGCAGAGCAACGGACGCCTTCTCATGAAATCCCCTCACAAGAATATTAGAAGTCAAATGATAACTTTGTAAGGTCTTGATATTTTATTTTCGAATATTCTAATAATGGCAATCCCACGATCCAGTGCGTGGCGGGTTAAGCTGTCGGTGCAATGCTATATTAAAGGAATCACTAAACATCGCTATACGGCGTTATCAAAACTTGCAATGTTGGTTGGTGTCTACGAACGTACAGACCGATATAGTCGTGTTTTACGATGATTTATCTCTCGGTCACCAACAAACATCAACGGTAAAGCACCAACATTTCGATCTATCATAACATCTGCGCAAGCGCAGAAGACATATACATGTGTATGACGTCTTTGGTCGCTGTAATGTATTATATGCAAATATATCCACCACGAAATGTGCGAATATGATTGGCTGTATACTATACAGTGTTGAATGCACTGACTGATATTTAAATTAGATAAGCTAATCCTTGGTTTATACATACAAAAAGTTAATCCACAATTTTTAAATTGAAAAAAGTTAATCACCTAAAATGGAGAGTGCAAAAAATACTTTGCAATTCAATATTTTATCAAATAACACCAATGAATAATATGAATATCGCTACTTTGAATAACTAAAATATTAAATGAAAAACACAGTAATCGATTATATTATCTATTCAGAATTGTTTCACTTGGGTTACAGCTTGTACATTCATTATATTTTGGTTTCCTCAGTATTTGTGCCGCTGACTACTGTCGCATTTCACTCTATTCTATACCAGGTTCAACAAACTCCTCGCTGCGAGCTAAAAGGCTCAAATAAATAAGTTCATGTTTAAAGTTAAGAGCAAATTCATGACTGTTTTATTTGAATTTTAATTAGTGTTGTATCGCAAATGAAAGATGCTTATCACAATAACACAGTCCCTCTAGAGGTAGAACACACATACTCAAATTTGTTGACATAATCTAAAAACAAATATTTGTTCACAGTCCTAAAAGTAATTGCAGACCTGTTTAATAATATTAATACTACAGATAGCACCAGAGCAGACGAAACGACCATGATTGTTTATGATTGTTTGTCGATATGCGCTGCGCGATATTTATAACAGTGCAACCATGCTTTTGTATATATAAAAAAACTAGTGTCCAAACTCAACGGCTATTAGACTGCAGGTAACAAAGTTTTTTCATACAGACCTCAGTGAAAACTAAAACCCAATCGTGGAAATGCAAACCAGTCAGTACAGACCTTGGATCTCTCCAAGTGAACGATTTTAATAATTATTGTGTTAATTATATACGGGTATGCGAAACATCGACCTTTGGTGGAAATAACACTCCGAGAGATCGCATTTCTAAACAAACACCCCCTGAAACAAATTTCGAAGAAAAACCCATCCTAGCTCAATATAAAACATAATTTATAGACCCATTGAGTGCCTTGCACGCACATGGGTTCCTACTAGTGCCCGGGGATTAGTAAAACCGGAGGGTGACAAGCCCAGTTAAGTGGTTACTGTATATGGAGGAGTGGCATGGCCCACCGCTCAAAAAAGAAAAGAAAACCATTCAAATTTAACTCGCCCGCGACGTCTGGAACGGGTTCACTCTGAAAAATCATGTTACTATGTGACTATGGTAGGGAGGAGAGGAGAGGGGTAGTAGAAACCAGAGTGCGTGTATGACCAAGTTAAGGTAAATATATAAACTCATACTGTTTTTTCTTTTCGAAATCAAAGCTGTAACTTTACAACGAACCTCATACCGAACATGCCCGACCTCTGGCTGACATACGGCTACGGTTTTCAAAATCAAAATGCAAACATGGTAGCTAAATCGCGCAGTGCTTATCGGGAAATGTTATACTTTTACACTTAATGTAATTATCATTGGTGACTACTCTGATTAGTCACGATCGTTTCGATCCGTTCAGGTATGATGTCTGAATCTGCCTAAATCTAATAATGGTCAATGTGAGCCACGAACCCATGTCTTACCCTCAAATAACTGTATATTAATTCAATTGACTGCAGTGTTTATTTATGCCCGTATATGATTTATATCTGTAATGTTCACGACTTGTTCCAAATGGTTTGATAACAACGCAAAAGACCCAACATTTGCACAATTTGGCCATATTTTAATGGCAAAAATGATGATTACAGTTTTAATTTAAATTGTCTATTCACCAACAGTGGAGAGAGGTTTTGCCACTAAAGATGTCAAGCAGTTAGGAGGAAGGAGGTCGCCGCGCTAATCCGATTCAAGCCAGTTGCACTATGGCAGGGTGCTTCGGGTAATGAATCAGTATTGAAGACAAACTGTGACACCTAACAGATCTTGAATGGGCCTTGAACATGTGCGCTAACGATTCCACTTGTTGGGGTGTTTGATGTCTCTATGTAGTTGATCAAAACAGACAACGACACATGAACATCTTTGAGTAAAAATGACAGCTAATATGTTTACAATGCTTGCCAATCACAGTTTGAATAAACTAAAATGTTAATCATCTAAATATTGTTGTTTACAAACAATACAATGTAGTTTGTCGAATCAGTGGCTTTAGCAACAGAAAGACTGGTTCTTCTGAATATCACACCTGGAAATATAATGTTCAGCATCTGCTGGCCTATTGTGTAAGTAGGCTATGAGGTTATTAGGAGGTTATCACCGATTTCAATTAGTTTGTATTGTATTTTTGCCCATCGACGTTTATTAGCCGTAGTTTTTGTTTTGCATTCATTTCCAAACTCGGAAATAGTTAAATAGTGTACCCCCTCTACTCGTCTGTTTGCGTGTAAAATATAAATTTATAAAAAGGTTTGCATATTGTGTTGTATCATTAAGATTCAAGATATTCAATCGCAGGGGTGTTTATTGTTTAGAACTATTATATCGTGTGAGATCTCGCGAGACTGTTAAATTGGCCTAGCAACCGTGTCACGTGATACAGTTCAAGCTTTGATTCACAATTTATTTGTTTATCAATCGTAATCAATGAGACATGGTAAAATAAACGTTAGTTTATGGAGGCGGAGAATTAAAATTGAAATTACTCACAGACACTGGGATTGAGTGGTCTCTTAACTACGCATAATTTTTATTCTATTACAAATTCACAAAGTATACGATCTTTGTTGCAATGCTGCAATTGGATGGATTAATCTATAATGTTCATGGTTGAGTTCACCTATAACGATGACTGGTACAAGGCTTATTTTCATTCTTCCAGTATTTATGGCGATTGTGTATGCACCTGCCATGTCCAAAACTGAATACGTATTTAGATGATGAATCTCAGAATCATCTTCAGAACTCTAACCCATTTAAACTAAATATTCATTTAGACGATGCATCTCAGAATCATCTTCCGCTGATAGAGATTATTCAGACAATGAAGTTCAGTGTCATCTTTCAGACTTTATGTCCATTCAGGTAATGATGCACAGTATCAGATTACCTTTTTGTAGCCAATGCTTTGAATATATTTACAGAAGTTGGCCATAAACTTCTGTGATATTTAGATATGCTTTAGTGTTTTGCCGAACATTAGTTTTAATCTATGGTGTAGCATAATATAGATTTGTAACGTACACAATAAACTCACACGTAATACTAAGCAGTCAAGTCGGATAAACGATTTCACATGCAGTCGATCGCCAAGAAGAGAAATGCATACATCCACCACAGTGAATTGTTCAAATCAATACGACCAACACCTGTTTAGGTGTGTGTTAACTCCAGTTGGGAATGGTCACCCTTCCAACCTTCAGACGACCGACGTCATGAATGATTATATGCTGAAAATTTGCATTGAAAAAACATTTAACTACCAGTAACAGCTGTCTGAATCGAAGCTGCATTGATTATATATGTATATGTATAAGTACTCGGATACATATATATCAAACACATATTTGCTATTGTATTAAGCACACTGGAAGTGGTGTCTAAAATGACACAACAGCATTACTTTTTATTGGCTGTGTTTCTATCAGCATTGTTTTGTTGCTCTGAAGTCATATGGATATATCAGTCACAGACAAAAATGCATACATGCGTTTCAGAAGTGAGTGATGATGTGATGAGAACATTTCAAAATTGTTTTATTGCAATTAATACAGAGAATTTCGAACGTCTCATGAATTTAATGTTGTTTATATTGTTTGACTTGCAGGTTGAACTTACAAATGACCACAAGAACACAATGACGGATGATATGAGTGCAATGCAGTGTAGATCACAGTCACGGTTCATTTTCATTAAGACCATGAAAACAGGTGGAAGTACAACTGCAAACATTTTAATGAGATATGGTTTATATAATGATCTGTATGCAGCTTCATATAATATCAAATATCTCTATTGCTCTAATTTTACTGGCTTTGACTTTATGGCATTGCATTTGCGCTATAACAGGACGTGGATGAACAATATCATACCAGATGCAAGGTATTTAACTATTCTCAGATCACCATTCAGTCAATTACCATCATCATTTTACTATTTCAAGTTTGCCAAGCCCTTACTCAATTATACCGATCCATTTCGTCAATACATTGAACATCTTGATAGTTACCATGACTTCACAGACGTACATCACCAGCATCGAAATGGACAAATGTGGTTCTTAAATCCAGAGTTTGAAGATGAAGACCAGGATAATGTTACAATTATACAACATGCAATCAGACGAATAGACAAGGAGATGGACTTTGTGATAATTTTGGACCATTTTGACGAGTCATTGGTGATACTAAAACAAATAATGTGCTGGAAGGACGAGGATATCATTTACCACATAAGTAAGAAAAGTAGAAAGAGAAACACAATCACTACATCTATGAAAATTAACATCAGAAAATGGAGTTTAGCAGATACGCTTTTATTTGAGCATTTTAATCGTTCATTGTGGGATAAAGTGAACAATTATGATGGAGATTTCAATTCTGATCTGAAAAGATTCCGTTCGAAAAATGCAAAGGTTTCATTTGAATGTTCACGTAATAAGATCCATCATGTTGGAACTTTTTGTTGGAAACTTATGATGGATACGCCACAATTACGCAAGTTTGCCAAACAAAACGAACAATATAGAAGGAAAACAACACTTACAGAACTTGAACAAAAATGTAAAAAAATGACTTAACATCTCATAGGAATATCTAACACGTAATACTTTGTTGACATTTGTCAGTGTATTGCCATTTTAACACATCATTTACTTATCATTGCCTTATTTGCATTGCATAATTGTGACCTTTATCTCATTCAAAATGTATCATATTTTAAATAGAGTGGTGGAAAATTTGTCACTACTAGGAATGTATGGTTACCGTCTTCAATTATCAACTCTATTGATGTGAATGCATTTATACTATGTATTTCACTATGGACAAGTATCTCATAGATATATACCTATTAATTAAAACATCAATCACGTTACGTTCAAAGAAAACACGCAGCTGTGAAGATAATAGTCACAGAGCACTAACACTGCAGTTACAGTTGTACCAGAGATATATAAACATATATAATTTACACGAAATCTACTCACAATACATCTATACCATGGTAGAGCCTCTGTACGTGATCCCAATCTTTTAACATACTACAAAACAAATTGAAAAATCCGTACCACCACATAAATTAATGAATATATGTTTAGCACAATAATTAAGAATTTCTATAAATGCTTGGATATATTGTGAGCATCAATGAGCAATACACATGCATTAAAATATTAGTATGGCATGACATATGTCACAGAGCCGAATATTTGTAATGGTGTTTCATCCAAACTAAATCTATTTCCATATTTTTGTCCATAAACAAATATTTCTTGTTTTGAACTTGACTGGGGTATAAGAACGTCGATGTACTTCATTATTGCGCCTAATATACATAAATTATAATATTCCCATTCGACAATGTGGACAGTTTTATGACCACATTTTCTGTGTAACAACAACAATGATTGCAAACCCATAGTGTATATGATTGCCAGAGCTGTATTATAATGCAAAACACTAATCTCACGTGACTCGAATACAGATCATAATTAATGACAGTCACTATAACAGCATGTTGGTTACGTTACTCTATGAACAAGCAACATTGGTATTAATTTATAACCCAGAATCAGCGAGCACAATTAACAATATTTAATTATAAATAGTTATTTGATATTTTTAAAGTCCCATTATTCTTGGCCAAGTAAAGTGATTTCAACCCCAACCAAGGCTTAGTTAGTGACAAATTTGATTTATTTGGTAATAAAATCCACGCAATTTGCAGGAATTCAATGAATTGAACTGCTGTTGAAAGATCGATCTACATTTGGTGTGCACAGGTTCGTTTTATTATCACCAGTTTTACATTTTTATTAGACAATAGCAATACATGTAGCACATGTTAAAGCGTTTACATGCGCAAAACAATTCATACTATTATTTTCCAGTTGAGTTTGTTTTGCTATCTAAAATAGTTATTGTATACCATCTGAAAAAATTTTGAATGAATTGATATTGGAATCAGCGTTTCAAAGTTATTGATCTATTATTTGTCTATATCCTTTTTTGCTTAATTTCCCGTTATCTTTGTGTGCAAATTTTGCATGTAACTGATCTAATCTGTATTGTGACAACTGCAAACACATGCTTCCTTGGTAGTAGAATAAAGAAACAAATACAATATTATAATCCGATAAATAAATTCACAAATAGTTACGCAAATTTCAAAATATACAAACTGTTATGCACATAAACGTATTGACGGATGGTGCATCATTCAAATTGAGTCAAAACATGTGCATATATTAAATATAATCATTATAAGTGCGCACTACGAGCTATTTCAAGTCTGTTGTGAGACAGTATATAGTACGTTATAACATAACCGGTGGGAATGTTATGTCATTGACCCAATGTTAATGTAACAGACACTTGAAATAACGTGTTTATAAATATTCTTTCACACAAGCAGAATTATTAGTGGTCGACCCATCTAAATAGGTAAACTGATTTCGACATGGGCATTACATGTACGGGGCACCGATTTAATAAAAAAAAACCTGGCAACTATTTTGTCTACGAATTTCCTCACAAACATGAAAATGACATACAATTCAAGATGTAACTGAAATATCGATAATGTTTGTTGAATGTCGTAATAATGTTCATAGAATGTTCTGAGATTCGCAATAAATAATTTTCTTTTGTAGTTGGCAACATTGGTCATAGTCGGTT